AAAAAAAAAAAAAAAAAAAAAAAAAAAAAAAAAAAAAAAAAAAGTTATTGGAACTTTTTTGTGTCACCTCACACAATAGTAATGTTTTATGACGTACACAACGAGCACGTATGGCTTAGAAGTAATTTAAAGCCCGATAAGCGAAGAAGGTCGCGATATATAGCGGTGCAGTGCAGAGCCAACCATTGTACGTATTAGGTCGCGATCGAAAAATTTCCAACTTGACCATTTGAGATTTTACGACGTGCTGGTGTGGGGCGCGCGGAATCGTACGCTTCGGCGAAATAAATATTTTTAGCGCTCGACTTACCAGCTCGACAGAATCGTGTATATCGATGGATCGCTCGACTTACTTCTTGTTTACTTTATATATGTGGTATGGGTTCGGTCGAATTTATGGGACATAAAATACATACGTGCAGGTCTTAACAAAATATAGATTTTAACAATATACTTTTTCATTGTTTTTTCGGTCTGGAACATTTATTCTACTTCTTGGAGAATATCGTACCTATGGTAATGAAAAGTTGTGTTTTTACAGAGACTTACGTTAAATGTTTGAAAAAAAGAGCAGATTTTCAGTTTTCAGAGCTCAGTAGTGGTATGCAAGGATCGTTAATTTTTTTTACGTCTCCATACTTTCAACAGACCTTTAATCGCGCGGTCGTAAATTCGCCAACGTAAAACGATGATTGGTGGAATCTAGATCACGATAAGAGTACGGGAATCGTTTGACCGATGAAAAATATTTCAACCGTCAATGTTTTTTTTTTTTCTTTCTTTTTTTTTCAAATATATTATGATCATTGTTTTCATTATTTACAGCAAATGAGATATAAAATAATGTGTATACTGCGCGATGGATGCTTTTTTTAAAAATACATTTCTTACTATACTTAATGAGTAAAGTATTCAATACTTCTTTGAAAAACATATTAAATTTGTTAGTCAACAAAATGGTAGAAATTGAGACGACAAAAACATATTAGCTGTAGTTGTATCAATGTTTCTTTGATTTTTATTTCAAGTGGCAGATGATGTGTATACAAAAAGAGCAAATACTGAAAAATGGACAAATCAACTGTGCATTGATACAATAAGTGTATTTATCACATGAAATTTTAGTGTACCAGTAGATGACTCGATTGAAAAATAATAATAACAAAAAAAAAAATTATTGGAATAAATGAATGAAAAGACCCGGATAGTCGTTTCCGCATTCCTCTTATTGCAGCTTAAACGTTTTCTCGTGAAAACAGATTTATCAACTCATGCAAAAATGTTCTTTCTAAATCCATAATTATGTATGTAACATTCAACGTGACGCGAGTATCGCAAAGATCTTCAACTCCTTGCGAAGAAAATCATAGATGGATCCATAGTATAAATTTCACAATTGCTTTTTATTTTAATTCTTAGTACCTAATCACCAATCAGCGAAATAAATAATCCATTTTCCCTTCACGATTTCAGAACGACAGGAGCGAGATTGTACAATGCACCAATAGACCTGCAGGCAAGCGTGTCTAATGAAAATTGAATAAATAAACGCACAAAAGTAAAAGTCACATACAGCGATACAGTTCGACGATCAAGTTGTTGAGAGGGGAGAAAAAAAAAAAAAAACATTGTATCTGGCTGCGCGGTACATGTATAATCGAATGACTTGAAGAGTTGGCCATCAGCTGGAAAAAAGTCTCGTAAAATTTATCTTGTTGCATTAGCCTGCAGAAAACATGGAGGGAAATGAAGATTACATGAATGAAACATAGAAATATTAGAAGTGTAGTCGTTAAATGAATAGGAAGAAAAACAGAAGAAAAGACAAAATAATGGAAGTCTCGTTAGACAGGTGGGTAGTAGCAGAGAAGATTTGCTGAAACAGAGCGGTAGCTCTTCGGTGAACTTCCAACTTTTATTCCTCTTTTATCTCTGTCACTCTTTTTTCTTTCTCTCTCTCTCTTTCTCAACTTCCTGCCAGACGCGGGCTTGGGCTCAGCTCTCGGGCTTGCAGGGAAGAGCAGCCAAAAAAAACTTAGCGCTTAGAAGTGGATTCGTGTGTGGCCAGGAGTTGCTGTCTCCGGTAGTAGTGGTGGCTTGGAAAGATGAGAAAGAACAGAGAACGAAGACATGTGATAGTAGGCAGAAGAAAAAAGAGAAGAAGCTTGGGCCAACAAATGAACACACAACAGAAAGTCGTCATGAAGTTGTGTGTAGAGCTATGGCTTTATTTCTCTTCCGGATTATCGGGCTATATCTGCTCAGCGAGAACGCCTATCTCGCCGTCATTGAATAGAGTCCCCCGAGAGAGAGCGTCGTCTCGAGAGCGATGATAGTCGTTGTAGTAGTGTGGGGGAGTAGTAGTAGTAGAAGATGTTGTAGGTGGCAGCCATGGTGGTGGACACGCCGCTGCTGACCACCGATGGGCTGTGACCCCATTTGAGTAGTGAGGGCCTGGGCCGCGCGCTGACACTTGCCAACCAATTTCGGTCTTTCTTTCCCTGTTTGACTGACTTGGTCTCTCGATTGTCGGCTTTTTCACTCACTTTGCTTTCTGTGTTTTGTATTCATCATGTGACTTTCGACATCGCTTTGGTCTCTCTGTGTTACTCAGGCCCTAATTGATCTCTGTCTGTCTCTCATTGCCCCTCCGCGGCGAGGAGGGTATGTATGGCTCTTCGGAAAGAACAGCAATTGTTTTTTATTGTTCCTTTTTTTTTTTTTTTTTTTTTTTCGTTTTTTTTNAATTTATTGTACGCCCATGTCTTCCAAAAAATTATTTACTTTGATTTTTTTTTTTTTTTTTTTTTTTTTTTTTTTTTTTTACTGAAACCGATGGTCCAAAATGCGAGTAATATCCGCTAGCGTCAGTGTCATCGTTTCCCGTTCGTCCTGTAAAAAAAAGAGGGAGAAGATTATATAGAGTAGCCAGGCTTGTAATACGGCGCCTTTTATTCGACGTTGCGTTCTCGTGGACGATGACTCACATGAAACACACTGCTGCGTGCGAGTAAAAATATCTCCTTTATCCTTTCCTTCGGTCGTAAGAGTACCTTATCTGTTCTTCTTCAAAACTTCAAGAAAATGTGTATATACAAGAGGGGATGATAGAGAAGGGGTTTCAAAGATTTGAAACACAACGGTTCTGGTTTTATAAAATGACTTTTTATTTTCAAAAACTATAATTTGTAAGTATTAGAAACTCAATAAAATCAATTGGATGTTTCGCAAAGTGGCTGATGTAAAATCACAACTTTTTGCTACTATAAAGTTATTGTAATTTTCAATTATAAGAGGGAAAGATGAGTAATGCGCAATTTAATATTTAGATGAAAAAAATTAACGCACTGTTCTTGCGACGATTGAAGATTATTAGGTATAATTAATTAATTTAGGAGTTGTAATCATTAAACAGTACACTCTAATTAACAAGATTAACTTTTATGCAACTGAAATTTAAAATACAATTTAATTGTGGTTGACTTTTTTATTCATGACAGTAAATCTTAACACTATAATTAATACACATCACATATTACTTAATGTACTGCAATGGGGGGAGGGGAGGATATATATACAAAAAGCCAGGAATTCATGACAATTGTGGGGTGATTTAAAGAAAACTTTGACCCCTATTTCTTTTTTTCCTCTTGAAAAATAAATCAGATACGCTTGCAATTGTTGCATACACAAATTACAGTCATACTTTTGTTTTCAAGTTGCTTGAGAATAGTTATGCATCACTCTCGAACAATTAAAGTTATTTCTAACGGAAATAGGTTTTAAATAAAATTCCAAAGTAATTTTTTTACAATAAATAAGATTACTGTGAAATATGGTGCCCATATTAAACTTAATTTAAAATGAATCCTACACCAGCTAATTCACAATTTTTTTTACTACTAGTTCTTAAAAGTCCAAGAATTCTAAGGGATCGTTCATAGTAGATTAACGAAGATATGGCTCGACGTTGTTAGACGTAGTCGGTTATATCAAGTAACAGAAAGTGACAGAGGGAGCAGCTCGAAGTGTCTTGCTGTAGCCAGTAGTAGCTTATCATCGATAGTATACATAAACTATACATCAATACAGCAAGACACTTCGAGTTGTTTCCTCTATCGATTTCTGCTGCTTGATGTAGCCGGCTACTTCTAGCAACATCAACCAATATCTCAGTTGTTCCACTAGTACTAATCTTAGAAGAATAAGATAGTCGGTAAAGAAATTGTATATATATATAATAGTTAATGTCTTTATTGAGTTCAGATGCGCAAAAGTTCATGAGTGATTCAATCGTCCTTCTTCTCGGGTGACTTATCGCCGTTCATGGGGGATGGAGAGCGGCTGCGACTCTTACTGTGTTTGCTGCCGTTTGAGGCTGATCGGGATCTGTTGTCTCGCGATCGCTCGCGGCTCTCACGCGATCTCTCCCTGCAGAGATTCAAACATTCATTAATGGATTTATCGAAATTGCATTTATATTACCCATGTATTTCAACCAAAATTTCAAACTTACTTTGAAGGAGACTTGGCTTTTGATTTGGACTGAGATCTAGATTTGGATCTATCGTTTTTTGATCTGGAGCGGGACCTGGATTTGCTCTTTGACTTTGAGCGATCCTTGGACTTGGAGCGTGACCTAAAATAAACATTTGAAATTCAATTTCATTTAAACCTCAATGGTTAATAAAAAATTAGATGACACGAGACATGCAAATTGAATAAAGTTTTAGGCATGCTTTACCAAGGCGGATCAAATCATATTAATGAAAAATGAAGCGTAAATGAAGCAAGTTGTAGAGAAAATAATAAAGCAAAACAAATCGGGACAAGGTACTCACTTGGACTTGGAACGCGAGCGGCTTCGCTCAGGAGACTTGGATTTGGACTTAGATTTGGATTTTGAATGTGCCTTCGATTTGGAACGGCTGCTGCGACGACTACGGCTACGAGAGCTGCGGCGGCTCCTAACGCACATACAAAAATAATTTCAAAATGCTCCGGGTTTTTCTTCATTTTTTAAATTTTTACGTTAATCATTTTTAATAGTTTTAAATGTGCATCGCGACGACTGCAACCGCTCGATAAAAGTTAATTTTTTTTTTCCTTTTTTTATCAAGAGCAGCATTTGAGGATTGGACGAGGATTACAATTTTTGGTACGAGCACTCGAATAATAAAAAAATTTTAGGACTTTTATCAAGCAATAACGCAGTAGGTACAAGAACAATCTAACGGACCATTAGGCAAGTGATTGGATTGAACAAGAAAAAAAAAAGAAAAAAAGAGGATGCAATTCAAATAAAATTAGGTGCATCGGTGACGATTGAAAAAAATTTTTCAATTGATGCGATTCTTTCTAAAAGCGTAAGGGGTAAAAAGAAACAAAGTTAAAATTATAGCAGAATATCAACAGGAAAGAGAGGCACGGTCAGGTCAGATTTTTTTCGTACCTTGAACGAGACCGTGAACGTATGCGTGAGCGCGACCTTGACCTCGAGCGTGATCTCGAGCTAGAGGAGCGCGAACGACGTCCACGACGATTATCTTCAACCAAACGGATTCTGCGTCCGTTCAACTCGGTATCGTCAAGCTTCTCTAGGGCTTTCTTCATGTCGGAGTAGGTAGCAAACTCAACAACTCTGTAATTAAAAAAAGACATCAAAATTTTTGTATTATTAGCATAAAACTTTTAATCTTCAAGTAAAATATTTACCCCTCATTTCTGCGTTGTTTATGGGCATCAGCATAAGTTACTTCGCCAGCTTTTCTCATGTAATCCTTCAAGTCCTGAACATCATATAAAAAATTTTGATTAATTGGAGTCATGAAAATTAAAATTTTAAACTAAAGTTATGTGAGTAATTTAAGACGAATTCGGGTAACAAATTGTTTTTGTTTTTTTTCTTTTCTGATTTAATATTAAGGAAAATAATTATTTAATGCTGTGCACTGAATACTACGTTATGTCGCAATATTTTAAATGACAAAAATCCTACATATTAAAATGAATCCTAGGAAGATTATTGGAATTGCTAATGTTTATGAATGATTGATGTGTGCTCGAACTTAGTATCATTGATTAAACCTTTTTCAATATGCAATTTAATTGTACAGTTTAATTGCAGAAGATTCATCACTTTGTAGAAAATCATGATTGATTGCAAAAACATAACGTATTTAAATATTATTTCTGCAAAGTGATTTACATACAGATATAATTTTGGAATATTGGATTGGTCAATTATATGGAAGATTTTAGAAAAATTTGTTTTCCATTCTCATCAGTATTATAGATATTAAAATAACCATAACTGAAAATTGTAAGATACTATCTCTGTATTAAGATAATTGATTTAACTAAATCCAACCCCTATTATTCAGCTAAGAGGGTGAGTAATGGCAGGAGAGACTTGTCAATGGTATCCATGCTTGTAGTACTACAGAGACACTCTTCACTTCGCGTTCTTCAGACTCTTGATAAATAATTCTCTTGTCTACAGTTAGAGAGAGACCTTGCATATTGTAGATCAAAATATATGGGAACCAGGTATTTGAGTTTGAAATAGTATTGATTTTCTTGATAAGCTTGAAGTTGGCGTGGCGTTGCGATATCTTGATCCAGACGTAGAAAGATTGTTGTAAAACCAATGAATTTCTTCCGTTTCTTTCATAGCCTTAACTAATTTTGAACCTACTCATTCATTTCTACTTTAGATTTATATACCTATATCAATTTTCAATTTTTGTTGCATAATGAATGGTTTAACTGTAAGATATTAATAAAGTACTGAATAGTAAAGTTATAATAATTTAAGTAAAAGTTTGAAGATTCCTAATTTCGAGCACAAATGCAGGTGTTAAATTTATCTATGTGATTAAAGTATGTTCTTTTTTTTGGAGAATTTTCCAAGTAATTTTCATCTTGCAAGAATGTACTCAAGGCCAATGTAAGAATGTACTCAAGAGGCTGTATACTTAACATTATAAGTGCACAGAAATTAATTGCAAATATTTATACTTTGACACTTTTTGTTCAATCAATTATCAATTCAATGTCAATCCAAAGATGAACAGTTATCATTCAAATAGCCTCTGCAAAATTTTAAATACAAAATTGAAAGAAATTATACGTAAGGCAATAATAATAATAATAATAACAACAGCAAATATAAAGTAGAAGATAATGTAAAATACATGAATATGCAAAATATCTAAAGAGTACACTCGTTTAAGGTGATGCATTTACCTTGGGCCCAGGCACCACCTTGCTTACGGACAGAGACACCGAGAGGAGGTAGGAATACGCATGAGGCCCCAAGTAAAGAGAGGACACAGAGGAACTCGAGTAGCCTCGCTCGGACTGACAACTCATTTCTCTCTTTTTTTCGTTCACAATATCTAGTTTTTCTCATGGAGCCAACGGTTGTGTGAAAGTCTTGTGTTCCTCGATTGGCCCATCAAACACAAAGGTAACGCAAGCGTGCTAGTTAAGTTCACTCGCAGAGAACCAATTAATGTGACCCTCTCTCGCACTCATTGATAGGGACGAACGGACGGACTCTCTCTCTCTCTCTTTGACTGGGTGTGAATCATCCCTGCCTTCCGATAGACACTTGGGAGGAATCGCACACACGGATGGCCCTCACCAGATGGTTTTGATGTTGCTCACTCGGGTGGCTTTCCAGTCGATTAAACGTCCCCCGATTACTTCAGAATTTTTTTTTTTTTTTTAATAGTCTGTCAATTGTTAGCGTTTTGTGATTTGTAATGGCGTCCGAGTATTGTGCAAGCGATTTTGTTATTTTTCACGCGTATAAGTGTAAAGAAGAAGAAGAAAAAAAAAAAAAAAAAAGTTCAATAATTTATGAAGTCAGTTGTATGAATGTAAGTTTTAGTTTATATGATTAAAAATGTTGCATCAGATAGTTTCGTATGATAAAGTTTTTGAATAATGTTAGCTTGTTTTATTTTATTTTGTACAAGTTACTTGACCCTTAAATTTTTTTATAAAAATACCAATTTTTCCTTAGAAAAAATATTTAGAAAAGTAAAATAGAAAACAATTGAATTATCATACATTTTTTGAGTTGCTAATTAATGAACTTTTCAATATTACATATAAACTTTAAATGTACTTTTACATTTGAGCATACAGTGGTGATAACTTAAAAAAAAAAGATGCAATTTTCAAACATTAAAGCAAATTTTCAAAAATTCCGTTCAATTACTTAAAAAAACATAAAAAAAGGAAAAAGGACGATTTTTACTCCAAGCGTGACTTTAAAATATTCAAGGGGAATAAAGTTTTTCGTCTCGTGTACTACATATTATGTGATTTTTTTTCCTCAATAATATTTACAACGAAAATGCGACGTTTTCTTCCTGAGTTTAGAGTTGAAAGTGCAACATACTTTTCCACAGGCAAATTATATTTACCACCTCAGTCTATTTTCAAGTATGAGCAGTGAATGCAATTGTTTATTCGGAAGATAAGTATGGCATTTCCACCCCTGAAAACAGGAAGCAATAATAGTAATTTCAAGAGCTAATATGGTGTGTAATGCGTCGCTTTTGTTGATGCATAGATTAAATTGACAGTTTAACAAAAATAAAAAAAAGGAAAAAAAATTGTATAAAAACATTTAGTGGCCACTATTAATGCATGCACATTTTAAAAATATAAGTGTTCAGAAAAAGATCGATTATTATAGGTAATATATATACTGCCACGTATATCAATATCGTACGCA